TGTAAAACTGAAGGCTAAAAACCATATTAACAATGGTTATTATTGTTGAGATTATAGGAGAATTTTTATTTTTTTTCTCCCTGCAGTGTTTTTCCCTATGAGTTTTTCAAGTTTTCTGACTTGAGTAAGAGTTATTTATACGGAAATTTAAAAAACTTTTTATTATGAAAACTTTCAAACACAGCAATAGGGAGACTAGTATAATAAATCCCCATGTACCCATCACCAATCATTATCAATATTTTGCCAATTTAACGTCATGTATTTTTCCCCACATTTTTCTCCTCTTGGACTATTCTAAAGCAAATCTTGGACACTATATCATTTCATTTTAGAAAATATTTTCAATAGTTTTTTAGGAGAGGAAGCTCAGGAACTGTTACTATGCAGATTTTCATGTTGTAATTGATTTCACTTTATTCATTGGTAACAGTTTATTCATTGACACAAGGTATCTTTGCACATGAACCAGCCTACTAGTACCAGCTGCCTTTGATTATAGTAGATTTTGACTCATGGTGACCTTGGTGCAAAATGGAATGCACTCAGCTGCTAACCAAAAGTTGTAAGTTTAAGTCCACCAGAGATGCTTCAGAAGCCTGGCAATCTACTTCCAGAAAATCAGCCATTGAGAACCCTATGGAGCATAGTTCTACTCTGACACTCATGGGGCCACTATGAACTAGCATATTCCTTGCAAATACTGTAATGCTTCCAGGGTAGAAAGCCTGCAAGCTGAAAACCACTGCCTTAAGGTATGGAACCCTGTCAAATGCATATCCCCTTGGGAGAGGTTGTGAATAATTTTCAGTCATTTTTATCTCATGCTGAATAATTTTCAGATTTTATGTTTTTAAATTTATTTCATTGAGGCATAATTTATATCAAATGTTTACACTTGTGCAATCAAAACTCTCATTAAGATCTAGAACATTTCCTTCACCCCAGAAAGTTCCCTAGAGTCTTTTTGTGTTAATCTTCAGCCTCTCTTGACCAGAGCAGGAAGCAATCTCTGTTCTGATTCCTATCATCATAATTAGTTTTGCCTGTTATTCAGAGTAGCCTTTTTTTTTTTTTTTTTTAATCTAGAGCAATGGTTTTCCATGGCCCCTGGATTAGCATCATCAGCATCACCTGAAAACTTATTAGAAATGCAAATTCTTAGGCACCAACCCAGATCTACTAAGTCACAAACTCCAAAACAATGGCAGTCTGTGTTTTTATAATCCCTCCGTTGATTCTGATGTACACTGAAGTTTGAGAACTATTGATAGAGTTTGAGCGCCAACAGTAGAGTTGGGCAGAATGGAGAGGGCAATGCCGGCTTGTATTGCGTGCAGTGAGGTAGGAAGGAACTGGGCAGGAGGGAACTGTAGACAGCTTTTTCACATAGCTTTGTTGTTGCTAGCTGCTGTCTGTTGAGTTGGCCCTCTGACTCATGGCCAGCCCATGTGCAATGGAATGAAATGCTTCCTGATCCTGTGACATCCTCATGATCAGGATCACCATTTTCATTGGCTGGTTGTGGGAGTACATCATCAGATATACTTTTTTCCTGGTTTGCCTTCATCAGAAAGCACCGATATTATGGATTGAATTGTGTCCCCCCAAAATATGTGTCAGCTTGGCTAGGCCGTGATTTTCAGTATTATGTAATCATCCTTCATTTTGTGATGTGATGTAATTATCACACATATGGTAAATCCTAACCTCTGTGATATTAATGAAGCAGAATTAGAGGCAGTTGTGTTGACGAGGCAGGGTACAGTCTGTACGATTATATTGTATTTTGAGTCAATTTCTTTTGAGGTATAAATTAAGCAAAGAGAGATCAGAGGGACCTGACTACCACTAGGAAAACAAAGCCAGGAGCAGAGTGTGTCCTTTGGACCCAGGGTCCCTGCACTGAGAACTTCCTAGACCCAGGGTGTTCCTAGACATGGTAGGTACATGGAGATCACCAAGGAACACCAAGCCCACAGATGTTGAAAGGAGACAAGGACCCTCCCGTAGAGCCAACAGAGAGGGAAGCCTTCCCCTAGAGCTGGTACCCTGAACTTGGACTTACGGCCTCCCAAACTATGAGAAGATACACTTCTGTTTGTTAAAGCCATCCACTTGTGCTATTTCTGCTATAGCAGCACTAGAGAACTAAGACAGCCCCTGAAACCAGTTCAGCATCTTAGCTGACAGATGTGTGGTGGCTGTGCTTAGTGTGCATTAGCTGGGAACCCAGGTCTCCTTCATGGAAAATGAGAATTCTACCACTGAGCTACCAATGTCCCTCACATAGTTCAGGTAACACCAAAAGCAAGAGGGAAAGGTCAAGCACTTGTGTCAGAATTTTCATATCTTTGGTTTGTAAAATAAAAATGCGAGTTTGCGGGCTCTTCTTTAGAATTTCAAAGATTATGATGGAAGTCTTTTCTCAAAATAAAAGCATCACATTTCATATGAGTTCCCAACCCTTTGTGGAAACTGCTCTGACTGGCAGGTGTGTGTGCCTTTTTAAATTGAAAAATGAATCATTGTTTATTAATAAGTATTTGTTTATTAGATAAGTCCTTTGATAAAATCTTTCCTTGGAAGGAAAAATAATAGAAATTGCTCTTGATGTTGAAACATAGCTCTAATGTCTGAGAAATCCACAAACCACATTCCCTGCCTGTAGATTAACTGAGAAGTAGCAGTAAACACTGCCCAAATGGGAGTTGCCTGGGAGACGAGAATGTCCAGGTATGTAGCCAGCTGCTTTCCATACCTTCCTTGTGAGGTTCAAGATGGGAAGCTTGTTGAAAGGAACTAATTCAGGTTGCACCTGGATATGAGTGGTGTTTTTGGCACGCTGTTGGTGGAGTTAACACATAGAACTGTTGTTCTGGAGCTTCTGAAAACATACCAGCTAAGAAACAGTATGTTTCCTGTCTTGAACATTTGTGGGAATTCCAGAAATATGTGGTACATGTTCGCAGACCCTCAGGAGCATTATTGTGGCTTTCCTGAGCCATATTCTAGCCCATGTCTTCCTGGAAATTAATTTCAAGGGAGATGATCCCATGAGTCTGGTTGGGTGTGAATTTGGCCTGGTGTTCTGCTTTAGCCACTCATATACCAGTTACTCAGCTCCTGGATTTTCCTTCCAAGGAGCTGGTATTGTATTTGGGAAGTAGATATACATGAGAATGAAAGTATTGTCAGGCTGCCTAGCTTGGAAGGTGAGTGAGTGAGTGATGAAGAGCCTCTAGTTTTCTGGAACTAGATCATTGTAGGAGGAGCAAAGACTGGGTCATCCAATGTGAGTGTGGGCAGCTGACGATGGTGGCGAGAGAGGCTGAGGCTTTTGCTACTGAGATGCCAGTGGAATTCAGTCTAGCCTGATTTGACTGAGGCTGAGGACTTCGGGCAGTTCTTCACAGGATGCTCTCCTTAGACCAAGCGAACTCGAGGGTGATGGCCCCCTGCTGAGTGGGATGCCCCTGGATGTGTGGCAGCTTTTAGGATGTCTGCCTGTCCCTACTTGCCATGAAATAAGTACTCGTTCTCCTAGGGTCCACAGTCAAGGTGGTTTGGGTTCACATGTGGCCCTATGTGATGTCTTCCTGAAATACAATCCACACTATTATTTGAAAGTCTCTCTCCTGTTAAATAATGCATCTAGCAGTGACCGTGTTGAAGACAGCACTGCCAAAACTACAAGCTGTCAGGCCCGTCAAGATGGTTTAAAGCACAAGTTTTTTCTATATTCATGTTTTCTCAGCATGTCTTCTTTTAAGCCATATGTAGTTTGCTTATATACTTTGACTCTATGATGACTTAATGAAAGCAGTATGTGAAATTAGAAGAGGAAATGTGAACTAAAACTTACTAACTTTGAAAAACAAAATGACTGCATCCCATTGATTTCAGTGGTTCTACTACTAGAAATTTATCCAAAGAAAATAGGTACAAAGATGTCCATATGAGGATGTTCATTGTACTCTGTTTGTCATAGTGAAAAATTGGACTCAGCACAACTGTTTAATGATTAAATAATGTAAAATAGATTATAGTACTAATGTTGGAAGTGTTCCAAGGTATTTTTTTAGGAAAGGTTTGTTTTTATATATATATGTATATATATATGCATTTGACTGCTAATCAGAAAGCTGGCAGTTCAAACCCACCAGCCACTCCTTAGAAGGAAGGCTGGGCAATCTAATTCTGTAGTGATACCCCTTCAGAAACCCAAGGAGGGGTCGCTATGAGTCGGATCCAACTCGAGGACAGTGAGTTTTGTTTTTTGGTTTCATATGCATATATATATATATATATCTCCTGTTGCCATTGAGTCCATTCTGACCCATGGTGATGCCATGTGTTACAGAGTAGAACTGTTCCTTAGGGTTTTCTTGGCTGTAAACTTCACAGAAGCATGTTTTATATGTGTATGTGTGTATGCATGTATGTATGTGCATTTATACATGTATACACACACATGTACCTGCATTTATGTGAAGATACCAGACTGTTAATCATGGTCACCTTTGGGGTTGGGAATAAGAGAGACATCTCTTCTGTACTGTATAAGATGTATAACATCTTAGCTTTTGACAAAGAGCATTTATTCATTTATCTAAAAATTAGCTTATTGTTAGGGATGTATCTTGGTGTCCTCCTTTCATATAGACATTAGAAGGCAAGATTATTTGGCAACTTTAAAATACAAAGTTATAGCACTTTGAAACACACCTATTCACCCAACAAATATTGGGTGCCTTATCTATGCCAGACGTTCGGCCAGGCCTGGGGATGCTACAGTGAATAAGAACTGTGAACAAGAAGCAGCCCCTATCTCAGATATGCACAGTCTACACACAGAGATCAAGCAGTCACTCACATTACCAGTTCAGGGCACTGGTGGTTCCCACAGAAACTGTGTGCTATTTTTATAAGTTTGTTTTTTTCACAGGCTGGAGGTTCCATATAGTTTGGGAAACCTGACTGTGATTCCTTCTCCTCAGACAAGTCCTGTGGAGACCCGCCTTCATTCCCACACACCATCCTGCAGGGACGCACCGGCTTGGAAATGGGGGATGAACTGCTATACGTGTGTGCCCCGGGCCACGTCACGGGCCAGCGTGAGACTGCCTTCACCTTATTGTGCAATAGCTGTGGGGAGTGGTATGGCCTGGTGCAGGCCTGCGGGAAAGGTAAGCCACCCCTGAGGACTGGGCCACCTCCCGGTGCCCTCACTCTGCAGGTAGAGCCGCTCCACTGGTGTGGCTATATATGGTGGGTTCTTCTCCACCAGGTTTCCTTTGAAAAGAGAGTTTCAGACGTTCTTCCCAACTTCTAAATGTGGTAACATCTCCACTTTGGTGTTCCTACACAATTGCAAACATAGTATATCCACAATTGAACTTTTCATCTTTTGTATTATGGGTAATGTTGTTGTTATGTGCCGTCGAGTCGGCCCCGACTCATAGCGACCCCTCCTTGGGTTTCCGAGGCAGTATCACTACGGAAGTAGGATTGCCCAACCTTCCTTCCGAGGAGTGGCTGGTGGGTTTGAACCGCCAGCCGTCTGGTTAGCAGGCAAGTGTCTTAGCCACTATGCTAACAAAACTCTCTAAGAACAGATTTGATCTTGGGTTATCTTTCCAGCTCTGTTTCACTGGAAATCTGAGAAAGATGGAATATTACCCATAATACTTGGTGACACTGTATATGGTAAAAATGACCCCTGGTGTGTAATCTGGACTGGGAGGACTGTAAATGAATTCTAAACACCTGATCAGATGCCCAGCTTTGGACTTCCCTGCATGTGGGGATTCTTGTGACTGGCCATGACGCTGGTGGGGACCTGGAAACTATGTGTATGGGTTGTTACAAGAGCTGCTGGTTCTTGTAGAGCATGAGGCTTCTAACTCAGGATGGATGGACACCCATCCATGTGAGTCCAACTCCCTTGTATCTGAGCAGTCATCTGGGAGCAGAGTTGGGGTTGGAGGGAAGCACAGAGAATAACTGCACAGGGCCATTTCTAGGACTACTCCCTCCGAAGAGTGTCACTGCTGCTGCCCTGCTGCTTTGCTGTGTTTCCTGGTTTCCACAGATGTGCCTGTGGTAGTCATATGAATCTACATAGCTAGTTGAGACTAAAAAGACTCCTGGGGAACTTTGAGCTCCTGAAACCTGATCTGATTCCCCTAGATATCCCCTTTCTATTGTCATCATATTCCTAAGGGTCCTAGGTATCTGCTGCTCCTCCCTACCCAGCCCATTGAGAATTTTCCCAGCACCAGAACCTACTGTCTCCAGCTACAGCCAGGCCTACTTCCTACCCCTCATCGCAGAGGAAAGTGCCTAGCTGAGGATTCTGGTTCCTGATTTAAACACCTCAGGTCCTGTGCCTGACAGTGAGCTAATCCCTAATCTCATGGGGCTCCTCTCACCCCAACTTCTTCAGCAACCCCTCATTCACCTCCCACAACATCTGGGTACCAAGCAGAAGCTGGCTCTGTAGATGGAAATGACTCCAGCACCACAATGTTACTGAATTGATAGGAGAGTCTGTCCCTGAAACAACCTGCAGATCCCATGAGGGAACTGTGATGAGAGCTAGGGCTCTGTTGTATATGTGAGATTCATCCACGTTGTGACTGGAAGCTGTGCTTTGTTCTTCTCCACTGCTGTTTACTCCCGTAGTGTAAACACACCATCATTTATTTATCCTGTCAACTGTTGGTGGACATTTGGCTTATTTTCATTATATGGCTCTCACACTTTACACTACTATGATTGTTCTCATTCATGTCACTTGATACGTGAATACATTTCTGCTGGTCCCCAGGAGTGAAATTGATGCTCATGGGGCATGTGTATGTTCAGCTTTAGTAAATGCCACCACAGAGCTTTCTAAAGTATTTTGGCCAGTTTATTCTCCCACTGCCTAGACGACCACCAGTCATCTGTCAGTTTGTCATATTGTAGTGGCATGCATGTTGCTATGATGCTTTAAGCTTTGCTACTGTTATTTCAAATACTGGCATGGCCACCCATGGTGGACAGGTTTCAACAGAGCTTCCAGACTAAAACAGACTAGGTAGAAAGACCTGACAGTCTACTTTTGCGGGAATTGGCCAGTGAAACATTATGGATAGCAGTGCAACATTGTCTGATATACTACTGCAGATGAGCCCTTCATATTGGAAGGCACTCAAAATATGATTAGGGAAGAGCTGCCTTCTCGAAGTAGAATCAGCCTTAATGATGTGGATTGAGTAAAGCTTTTGGGACCATCATTTACTGATATGGCATGACTCAGAATGAGAAGAAACAGATGCATATAATCCATTACTAATCAGAACCTGGAATGTACGAAGTATGAATCTTTTTGTCAAAAATGAAATGGAATACATAAAGATATCCTAGGCATAAATCAGCTGAGATGGACTGGTATTGCCCATTTTGAATTAGATAGTCACATGGTCTATTATGCTGGGAATGACAAATTGAGGAGGAATGGTGTTGTATTCTTGTCAAAAAGAATTATTTCAAGATCTGTCCTGGCGAAAACAAGGCCAGGGGATGACTGTCGGACAGCCCATCCACTGCTCATATGCAAGTTCAAGTTGAAGATGAAGGGAGTACGTCAGGGTTGTAGCCTTTCACCCTACTTGTTCAATCTGCATGCCAAGCAAATAATCTGAGAAGCTGGACTATATGAAGAGGAATGCAGCATCAGGATCGGAGGAAGACTCATTAACAACCTGTGATAGGTAGACAACACAACCTTCTTGCTGAAAGTGAAAAGGGCTTGAAGCCCTTACTGATGAAAGTTAAAGACTACAGTCTGAAATATGAATTACACCTCAACATAAAGAAAATGAAAACCCTGACAACTGGACCAATAGGCAACATCATGATAAATGGAGAAAAGACTGAAGTTGTCAGGTTCCATATTCCTTGGGTCCACAATCAACACCAATGGAAGCAGCAGTCAAATCAATTGATATATTGCATGGGGCAAATCTGCTGCAAAAGACTTCTTTAAAGTGCTGAAGAGCAAAGACATCTCTTTGAAGACTAAGGTGTGCCTAACCCAAGCCTCATATGCATGTGAAAGCTGGACAGTGAATAAGGACTGAAGAACTGTTGATACTTTTGGTTTGTGGTGTGGGCAAAGACTATTGAAAGTACCATGGACTGCCAGAAGAACTAACAGATCTGTCCTGGAAGAAGTGCAGCCAGAATGCTCCTTGGAAATGAGTGTGGCAAGACTTTGTCTCATGTACTTTGGACATGTTATCAGGAGAGACCAGTCCTTGGAGAAAGACCTGCTTGGTAAAGTAGTGGATCAGCAAAAAAAGAAGACCCTCAATGAGATGGATTGACATAGCATCTTTAACAGTGGGCTCAAACATAGCTACAGTTGTGAGGATGGCACAGGACCGGGCAGTGTTTTGTTCTGCTGTACATAGGGCGGCTTTGAGTTGGAGCCAACTCAGTAGCACCTAACAACATACCTGTGGTGATTTGTTGCAATTGATGAACCGATATTGATACATTATTCCTACCTAAAATCCACAGTTTATATTAGACTTCACTCTTTGTGTTGCACAGTTCTATGGGTTTTGACAAATGGAGCTCTGGTGGCGTAGTGATTAAGGCACTTGACTGCTAATCAGAATGTCACTGGTTCAAACCCACCATCTGCTTCACAGAAGGAAGACTGGGGAGATCTACTTCTGGAAAGATTTATAGGCTCAGAAACCCAATGGGGGTTGCTATGAGTTGAAAACAACTCAATGGCTGTGACGTTTGTTTTGTTTTTTATAGTGTCATGTATCCACCATTATAATATCACACATAGGAGAGTTTTACTGCCCTGAAAATATCCTGTACTGTACATATTCTTTCTTCCCTCTTTCTATTATAACATTTTGGTAGAGTAATTTTATGTCTATTTAACATAACAAAATTTAGAATGTATTTATTTGCTCTTTAATTTTTATTTTAACTCATTTTAATTGCATTTTGCTAAATGTACTCCTCGGAAGGAAGATGGGGCAATCTACTTCCATAGTGATACTGCCTCGGAAACCCAAGGAAGGGTCTCTATGAGTCGGGTCCAAATGAACAAATGTTCTGGTTGCCTAGTGCCACTCTGGCAAGAATATACCACAAAAGGGATGACTTTAACAAATAGGAGTTTATCCTTACAATTTGGAGGCTTTGAGTCCAAGTTCAAAGTGCCAGGCTCTAGGACCTGGGTGAAAGCCCCTCAGCCTTGGGTTGCAGCTCTGCCTCCTGCTCCCGGCCCACTGAAGCTGGAGGCTTTTCTTCACTCAGCTGCTGGCTGCTGAGGCTGACAAACCCAAGGTTGACAAGTAAAAAGGTATGGTCCCAATGTTACCAAACCACACGGCAGACCATTAATTCAAGTCCATTGTAAGTCCCAAGGTTGGCAGAGCATGGCAGGCTGCTGAACAATGACACAGCTACACGCAAGGTTCAAGCGTGACATAGACTAGAGACCATTTCCAAAGCTGTTGCTTATATACGGGAAGCAGATCACATCCCTAAAGCAACTACTCAGCTGCTCCAATACATTCCACCATGGAGTTAATTACCAATCTTACTATGGGGAATAACTACATCCAGCTGCCCAGCCACTCAACCAGGCCCAGCCAAGTTGACACACAAACTGAATTACCATACTAAATAAAATACCAGTGTGCCAATTACTTGGAATTTTTTTTTTTTTTAATGATCCGCAGAAAGTCTGAGAAATACTGGAATAGATAACAAGAAAACAACAGAAATCTATTCATTAAAAGACACTCCAAGAGTAAAATAAATAAATAAATAAACAATAGAATGGGAGAAAATATTTGCAGCACAATGATTAAGGAAGTTTTATGTAATAGATCATAAAATCTGTAAAGAATCAATTAAAATCAATTAGAAAACTGCACAGAAACTTGGACACTTCATGTGAGAAAATTCTAATGCCCAATGAATATGTGACAAGTGTTCAACCTCATTATCTTCAGAAAAATGAGTATTACAACTACACAAAAAACACAGAGTCACAAATTGGTAAAAATTAGAAAGTTTCATAATTCTAAGGTTGGTGAGGATGCTGCACAATAGGAGCTCTCTTGTTTAGATGCTGTCAAATCTGTTTCAACTCATAGCGACGCCA